GGAGACCAGGACAACTAGATGAGCCCCAGAGATGGATCCCCTCCGAAGACCTCGTCACCTAGGCAGCCATCGGGACAAGACCACAGGAACCAGACCAGTCCTCTGCACAATCTGACCTGTGTTGCAGCCTGCAATTAAACTGCTGGATTCGTCTGGCCAGAGAAGAACGATGGAGTTTTGGTTCCTTCGACACACGATTTTTCTGTTTAATACTGTAAAGCTGCTTTGACACAATCTGTAGTGTAAAAAGCATTATGTAAATACAGTGACTGGACTTTACTTGACTCTGTTCAGTTGAACTGTAACACCTGGTTCATTTATTTTTTTCTGACTTCTGCCTCATTTTAAAGATGTAATTGTGAACAGTAGTAATATTTGTAAATGTTTGTTTGCAAACGGGATAGTTCACCCAAAAATGGAAATTTGCTGTTATTTTATTGACTCTCAGGCCATCCCAGATGTCAGTGACTTTTTTTCTTCAGTAGAACAGCAAAGATTTTTTTTCTGAAACTGATCCTTGGCGATTCATACACTGCACATCTGTGGCTGCCGGTTTTTGATTGTTCAACTTCATAAGGCCTCAATGTATCCTCAGGAGCCATTAGTAATTTGGTCGTCTTTGTTTATTTGACTCTCAAAAGCTGGCAGTCAGAGACGTGCAGTTTATGAATTGCGATGTTTTCAAAGACAATGTTTTCACCTAAAAATTTACTGTTCAACTAAAGAAAAAAAAGTTAACTACATCTTGGATGGCTTGAGGCTATCAATTAACAGCAAATTTTAATTTTCGGGTGAACTATCCCTTTAAGCCTGCATGTTTAGACTGTATGACAAATGTTATAAATGCAGATTGTTATTAAATAAAGGCTATTATGTGTTGTAATGTATGTGTTTTAGTGATTGATAGACACCAGGTAATAATTTTCTTAAACTCAATATAAAATATAATAACTAGTTCCACAGCAATTTCTTATGATGCCCAAATAACAAATCTTAGTTGAGGTAACATATGAAACACATGGAGTGAATGGTTAAATTTTAATTGACACAATTTGCTGTAGTTTTCTAAATGTTTGACCAATTAAATAATTTTAGTTGAATGGACTATAAAACTATTTCAGTAAAGGTTGAGCCAACTAAAAAATTATTCAGGCAACACTTTGAAGGCAGAAATTGACTGAACGTAAAATTTCTGTGGAACTTGTTACTAAATAATTAGTTGAAACGGCTTGAAATTTTTTACAGTGTAATGTATTATTATATATTATTTACAGTGGCAGCTGGTGGAAAATTTTCTAGGTAGGACGCCACATCCAACAATTTTAACATACATCCCAGTATGATTTATCCCAGTATAACAAAAGGAAAAGTATTGAGACTTGAAACATTTTAAAGATAATAGTTTTACCAAGTTCAAGATTGAGGATGATTCCCACAAAACCCTTTTTTTTCTGCAAGCTTTTTCCAAGATAAATTAATTCTTTTAAATTAAAAGTAGCATTGCTGGTGCCATGCCATGAACCCTACTCACACAGCAAACAGAACCGAACCGTGGCATTGTAAACACTAAAACATGCACAAACCAACCAGTTGCACCATAGGAGTACCTTTGTACACCGAGCATCCATCCTATTGAAACATTCATTCAGAACTAGGTCAAAATAGCCTTTATTTGGTGAGTTCAATGTTTTGACACATATTAGGGTTAACCTGTTTATAACCTGTATGATAAATTCAGGCTATTAACGGCATTTCAGAATAAGCTGTAACTGAAGCAACAGTTTGGGGTTTAAGTAGTAGTTCTCATAAATATATTACTAATGCTAATAAGGTTAAAAAAAAATCACTAAATGGTCAAGTTCAGATTTGATTTATCACACAAACCCATAATGCTCTTAAACTGGGGAATCCCAGAAAACCTACTTTATTGGTTGATTTTAATACGAAAACTCTAATCAGAAGTGAATTTAGCCAATGTTTGAGTATAACATTGCTTGGTCTTCCTTTTTTATTTTGGTACACAAATGTAGAGCATTTTTTAAATCTGATCCTGCATGAAAATAAGTTCTTAACAAGTAAAGAAAACACTGGGGCTTATTTGAGGCGTTCTGACACTTAACCCAAATGCATAAGCAAATATTACTGAAATATTTTGAACTAGAGAAAGCCCGCAGAACCTCTTTGCATTATAAAGAGTGGCGTAAAATACCACTTAAGATGCAATTTGAAAGACTGAATGATATACTTTAAAGAAACTGTAGAGAATGTTCTAGAAAACTCACGGTCAACTACTGCGTTTATTCTGTGTTGGGAGAAAATGGGGATGATAATTCTCAGTAGCGTACATCTCTGTAAAACTAGGGGCCATTTCCATGATTAAACCCAAATAATCAACAATATACAAGAATTTCCTACGAAACATGTTAAAAGAGTTTAAAATTAGCGATCATCATGGAATTTACGTTCACTCACACAAAGAGCTTTGTTTTCATCCTTCCTATTTTCATTTGTCAAACAAACGTATTTCATAGCAATATCGGCTCCTAAGCCGCCTTTGTTACTGACTTTACAGTGGTTTTGCCAATTCGAGGCTTGGTAAAGGGCTGAAAGTAGCCTGTTTTTTAGACATACCGTGCAACCCAACAATTGCAGTTAAAGTAAAAAGGTTATATGAAATAATCTGTCGCCGTCACTGAAATCCTCCAGCTCCTCCTTAATGTCTCCTTTTTGTTTTGCAGAAATCAAAGAGCACAAATGTAAGAAGAGGGAACAACATAATAATAATAATAATATACATGATAAATTACAATCCATCTTTGTTTTAAATGAACTGTCACTTCCAAAAGTAATTTTTGAAAGTTTTGTGTAATAATGCAATGATTCATTTTCTCATTACAAAAGGGTCAAACAGCATTCATCACTGAAACGCCCTGTACAATTTCCAACTTCTTTGTCTTAAGTTAGCCTCTAACCAAATTGTGACGCTTTCAAACTTGAGAAAGAAAAATAAACAACAAGTTAGTAAGGGCCTCAAGCTAACACCAGAAACTCAGACTGGATGTCCTTGCGGCGTCCTGCTTCAAGACAGAGGCTGCAGCTGCGCTGTACTTCTCCAGCTCAACTAGAGTGACACGTGGAAAGGAGAGGAGAAGGAGGGAAAGTGGGAGGGATAGAGGATATCATTTGGGTGTCGGGAGGAAGGCAGTAGAGCGAGGGGAAGAGGATCAGAGGAGTAGGAGGGGTCTGGGGCTACACACTTGTCTGGTTATTGTTAGTCCACTGGCCGCTTTTCGCCGTGTTTCTTTGTAAACTCATCTGCATTCTTAAAGAATTTTTTACGGTCTTTTGAGTATTCTTCTGCTAGGTCGGCCCTCAGAGGGTGTTCTGGCTGTGGGTCGTTCACCAGGGCAATGAGCGACTGAATTACTGTAGGAAGAAAGGGAAAAGAATGTGCGTTATCATTGGTTACAACAACAAAAAATGTAGTATTAAGTAACTCGATGTGTTTATTCTTATTTCTTACAGTTCTAATAAATATATATATATATATAATAAACTCTTGTAAGCTTTAAATCAACCCTATAGTTTAGTGAGAGAACTATATAGAGAACTATAACGATATCGTTTTTATTAATATTTTGATTCAGGGTTTCTTCCCTATTTTAATTGTAAAATGTTAGTAATTTTGTTGTCTCTTTTTGTCATTTTAGTGGTTTTATTTATTACATAATTTTTTTTATTTTCATTTAATTTTTGATTTAATTAATTTACATTAATTTTTATTTCAGTTTTAGTTATTTTAGTACATTAAGAGAACTGCTGCATTGGCAACTAGCTGAGTAAAAAAAGTTTTATATTTGATTTCAGTTAACATTTGTTTTATTTCAAGTAACAAAAATGTGTTTTTATGGTTTTAGTTTCAGTTTTAGTAAACTATAATAACCCTGGCCTTCATCTTTATGAAAAACAAATCAGAATAAAAAAAGACTCTATCCAGTGTTATTTTAGTATCAATTAGATACTATTATAGTTTTTATTAATAGTTTGAATTAATTTTTATATTTTCTTTTTTATTTTAGTTTTTGTTAAAGTTTTAGTAATTAAATAGTAATGTCATGTTTATTAGTTTTTTTTTAAACAGCCATATAGTTGTTACTGTTTTTTTTCAGTTTAAGTTATTTTAGTACATCAAGTTAAACTAAATGAAAATGAAAAATGTCTTCTTGGGAACTAGTTAAATTAAAACATTTTAAATGACTTGATAAATTGTTTTAAATATTTTATTTCTGTTAACATTTACCTCAAGTAACGTTTTTATGGTTTTAACAATCTGTGTTATGTTTGGGTAGTTAATATTCCCCTAGAGATGTGACAGTATGTTTTAAAAAAGCATTCTCATTGTTACCAACAGATATCTAACTAACATGTAAATGAATGATCGCATTCGTGTTGAAAGATTGTTTGAACGCATCTGTTCCTTGAGACGTGTGATATGCTTCATCTATAAAGCTGCAGTAACTAACAACAGCAAGACTAGCAGATACAATAAACACAGTAATGTTGTCAAATATTATTACAACTTAAAATACCTCTTTTTTTATTTGAATATATTTTAAAATGTAATTTATTCTCGTGATCTGAAATCTGAATTTTCAGCAGCCATTACTCCAGTCTTCACTGTCACATGATCCCAAAATTAATTTCTTATTATCAATGTAGAAAACAGTTAAGCAGCTTAATATTTTTGTGGCAACTGAGATACATTTTCTTGGATGAATAAAAGTTCAAAATTGATATTATATCTCTAATAAATGGCTTTTCTGTCACTTTTGTCCAATTTAATGGATCCTTACTGAATAAAAGTGAACATTTCTTTAAAAAATAAATCTTACTAGCCCCAAACTTTTGAATGGTAGTGTATTTCCAGATTTCTACTGATATATTGTTTTATTAAATTCAGCGTTACATCATTCCTGTAATTAATTCAGAGAGAACTAAATGGCCTTCATCTTTATAAAACAAACCAGAATAAAAAAAAAAAAAAAAGATTAAAGGGTTATGTTATGCTTTTTCACCTTTTCAACAAAATCGTAAAAGAGCATAATAGGACCCCTTTAATCAAAGTCACGTTTGGGTAGTCAATATGAGCTGAATACAGAAATAAAGGGTGTTGCCTACTATATAAACAGATGGACAATAAACACAAACATCATCACAAAGCCTTATATTTGTTCATGATTTCTATATCATGAAGTGACAAGACCGAGTGTGTTTATGCACCAGGATCAACCGAGCTTTAGCAGTCTGACTCATGTAGCGGTTTCAGGCATATTGCAACAACTGCAGCGCATCTCACCTTGGTCAGTTTTGGTGGCTGGTTTCCAGTTCTCTGCACTAATGACAGGCAGGCAGACCTGTCCCTTCTCGTCAATGTTGGGGTGGTAGATCTTCGTTTTGAACGTGATCTTGGGTGGCTTGAAAGGGTATTCTGCAGGGAAGATAATCTCGATCCTGAACGCCCCTTTGTCGTATGGAGGGTTGTCCTGTGGGAGAATAAGGTAAATGAGGTGAGCACAGCTCAGTCTATAATGAATATAATTACAAACAAATCAATGTTGCATTCAGGACAGAAGCGTGAATGCATGAGGTATGAGATCACATATAGCTGATGCATGGATATAGTGTAGGTATAAATGCAGTCTAGCTCTAAAATCCACAAGAAATCTGTTCAAAATTTACATTTAAGCAATGTTTTAGTACAGAGGTGCCCAAATTGTTTACTACAAAGTGCCAAAAATCTAACTTGAATGAAAGCTGTTTGATCTAAAGTAAATGTTGCACTTTATTCAACTGCGATATATTAAAACATACAACTTTGAAAAAAATCTAATTCACCTATATTCTCTATATTTGCAAAAATGCAAATTACAATGCAAAAATAACTAAAAATGTTTCAAAAAATTTGAAATGAAGATATGCTTCAACGGAGTGTTCCTCCCCCCCCACAAAAATAAAATAGGTCGCCGGTTAGGGCATCTCTGTTTTAGTGTAATTACAGCATTTCAGGTGCAAATATATATTATATCAGAATTTTGTTTCCAAATCCTAAAGCTGTTAAAACATACCATTTCTTGTCTGCATACTTTACGCATATGCAAATAACAAGTAAACAATTCATGAAAGATGCATGAGCATTTACTAAACACTTACTGGAACAATGAGGCCTTGCCATGTCAATATGTTTGATTCATCAACTTGAATGTTACGGAAGTTTTTCATCCCAGATTTGCGGATTTCTTCAAGCTCCTGATAAAAAGGGTTAGAAACAAGGATGCATTAGATACTACTTCTGGGTTCGCAACTTCTGCTTGTCCAATAGAAACTTTGAGATTTAGCTTATGCTAAAACAATCTCTCCTAATAGCACAATGGCCATTAATTAGGTAATTAATTACAAAGCGCAAACAAATGAAGTAGGAATAACAGTTTACATCATTGGCCAAGACCTTCTATGTATCTTTATCATGGACAAGACATCATTCCCAAATGTAACGTGAGCCAGGTCTTGACCTAATGAGTTGGAGAAATGACCCCTTGCTCAGCAGCTTACTGTAAATAACTGACCTGAAGTAAGTGTGGATTAAAACCACAACAAACCACACCTTAAATGTCTGAAGTGCATGCAGCTTCATATTCAATAACTGCTCTAACATGTGCTGTTTATTATTAATATTTAGTCTCACATAGGAACGATGCAACTAATGATTAACTGATACTTGATTAATTGGTCAATTATTCCTTTGATTAATCAAATAAAAATACTATTTTAAAGTTATTATCTGAATTGTATAATCAAATTCGTTGACTATTTTCATTATCGATTCATTGTTGCAATAAGTCCTTACTGTGTTAAATCAAACATCAGCAACTACATGTTCACTATAGTATAGTAAAAGGGTGTGTTCTAGTGCCCTGCAAGGATAACCCATTTCCTTCTATTGCCAATGAGAGCTGTCTGACATTTACAGCCATTCTTATCTAACAAGGAAGTAAACTCGATAAAATGATCACTGTGACACAATACGTCCACTAACTGTGCATAAACACCCTAAAAGCTCAAATATAAGACAATTCAGAGAGGTTAACCTCCAAAAAGGATTGGTCAGACACATCTAGGTTGCTAAATACAGGTTATTCACGAGTTGTGAATGAAGCGACTTCGACAAGACGGAAGTTTATAAAGCGAAAGCTTGTGAACACTTGCGGTTTCGTTTTATTGTATTTTTTATTATTAACGGCGTTACAACAGCTAACCACCTGGAACTCACTAAACCGTCTTATTTAAGCAGTATTCTACTTATTTGTGTTATTTCAAGCTTAAAATGTAAAAAGACAGATGTGTATATTTGACAGATATTGCTGGTTTTGAGTCTTTGAGTCATGTCTAACGTCACTGCAGCGGGGTTAAATCAGCATTATTCGCTTAAAAACATCGATTAGTTATTATAACAGTCGATTAATTTATAGTTATTGTATTCAGATGATTCAGTTTTGTTTGAATCAACCGAATCCGCTGTGACGGAACTCGTCGCGTTAGACTCCTGTGCGTTATATTCCTGTCACTTACTCGCTGTCAATGAATGAAAGTACTTGATAAAACACCGAAGCCTGCTCTAACGTGTCCTTTGACCCTCTATCTCTCCGCTCTCGACCCCAAAACCCTGTTCAAGAGTCCCGCGGCCTCCACCGGCGCTTTTCCTCCTTCATGTTTGGAAACGCGATGCGAGCCGAGTCATCGAGTGAGAGAACCGCTCGTACCAACGCCGATCAAGCGCCAGTGAACAATCAAATCGCCTTTTCTGCCAGCTAAACCTTATGTTTAAACCCCCGTCGCGTCGTCGTATGTGGTTTTTCTTTTTGCGATATAAAAAGCATGAGGTTTGGACGGCTACCTTGTGTAGTCTCCTGCTCGCCGCCATCTTGAATCTTTCAACTACTACCAGAATGCACCGCGCGGTGTAGCTATGGACTCACGAGCTCGTCCGCGTTTTTAAAACTTCGGATGATCAGATCTGGGATCAGATTTAATATTCGCGCACAACCGACGCAACAGGCGAGACGGGAGCGCGTACAATGATCTCAGGTCAGAACCCTTGGGTACTTTCCATTACAAAACGAAACAAAAATTCCATTTATTACACTGTGGATGGAATTGATTCTCCCGTGATTAATCAAGCCATAGCATAGTCAGCCTTTATTATTTAACGTTACTTATCTCGAAAATGTATTAAACTAAATTAACGAATAAATATAACGGTTTCAGTAAACTTGTAGGTAATGTAGGCGTGCCGGGAGAGACATACAACATGCAATGAACGTCCTTGACAAGAAGTGCGTTTTCCGGATTTCTAGCTGCGTACTAGTTAATGACCACACGATGTCACTCCAGAGTAAGGAATAATGCTAAGTGGATATTTGATGCAGAGGTTAATTTAATTTAAGTGAAATTTGAATTATTTGGGACATATATTACACAAACGATGGCCCTGCCTTAAAGCTGTTCTAAAAATCAATCAACAGACCAGTCTGACTAGGCTGAGAAACTAGCCAAGACCAGCAAACCACCTTAGGCCGGTTTAGCTGATAGGACTTTAGTAGCTACATCAATGAGAATGAGTTCAAACAGCTGATAAAAACATCACAAGTCATCCACACGACTCCAGTCCATCAATTAACCTCTTGCGCGTGTTTTAAATAAACAAATCCATCATTAAGATGTTTTTAAAGGGGTCATATGATGCGATTTCAAGTTTTCCTTTCTAAGAGGACACCAGGGGCCTTTTTCACTGGAGGAACTGTTGGGTTATGGGCTCTTATTTTTGTCAGAAGTGCCGGTTTGAAATTAAAACTCCTTAATGATGTTAATGAGTTAATGATGGCTTTTAACTTCACAAGATGTTAACTGATGGACTTGAGTTGTATGGATTACTTGTGGATTATTGTAAAGTTTTTAGCAGCTGTTTGGACTCTCATTCTGATGGCACCCATTCACTGCAGAGGATCCATTGGTGAGCAAGTGATGTAATGCTAAATTTCTCCAAATCTGTTCCCATGAAGAAACAAAGTAATCCTAGATGACCTGACGGTTTTGTTTCAGCAACTGTTCATTTTTGGGTGAACTATTCCTTTAATATACAGTGCCGCTTGAAAGTTTGTGAGCTCTTTAGAATTTTATATACAGGTGCATCTCAATAAATTAGAATGTCGTGGAAAAGTTCATTTATTTCAGAAATTCAACTCAAATTGTGAAACTCGTGTATTAAATAAATTCAATGCACACAGACTGAAGTAGTTTAAGTCTTTGGTTCTTTTAATTGTGATGATTTTGGCTCACATTTAACAAAAACCCACCAATTCACTATCTCAACAAATTAGAATACTTCATAAGACCAATAAAAAAAACATTTTTAGTGAATTGTTGGCCTTCTGGAATTGGTGGGTTTTTGTTAAATGTGAGCCAAAATCATCACAATTAAAAGAACCAAAGACTTAAACTACTTCAGTCTATATGCATTGAATTTATTTAATAATTTGAGTTGAATTACTGAAATAAATGAACTTTTCCACGACATTCTAATTTATTGAGATGCACCTTGTATTTCTGCATAATTGACCCAAAACATAATCAGACTTTCGGCACAAGTCCTGAAAGTAGACAAAGAGAACCCAATTAAACAAGTGAGACAAAAATATGTTCTTTGTCATTTATTTATTCAGGAAAATGATACAATATTACATATCGGTGAGTGGCAAAAGTATGTGAATCTCTAGGATTGGCAGTTAATTTGAAGGTGAAATTAGAGTCCATCTGTTTTTCAGAGTTGTTTTCATTCAGTGAAATTACTATCAGGTGACAGTGTGTGCCCTGTTTTATTAAAGAACAGGGATCTATCGAAGTCTGATCATGTTTGTGGAAGTGTATCATGGCATGAACAAAGGAGATCTCTGAGGACCTCAGAAAACGAGTTGCTGTTGCTCATCAGGCTGGAAAAGGTTACGAAAACATCTCTAAAGAGGTTTGACTCCACAAATCCACAGTCAGACATATTGTGTACAAATGGAGGAAATTCAAGACCACTGTTACCCTCCCCAGGAGTGATTGACCAACAAAGATAACTCCAAAAGCATAAGCAAAAGCACAAAAGTGTAATAGTCTGCAAGGTTGCAAAGGAACCCAGGGTAACTTCTAAGCAACTAAAGGCCTTTCTCACATTGGCTAATGTTAATGTTCATGAGCCCATCATCAGGAGAACACTGAACAACCACGGTGTGCATGGTGCATCCAAAAAGAACATTGCTGCTAGCGGTGGTGCTGGTATCATGGGTTGGGCCTGTTTTTCTGCACCTGGACAAGGATGGCTTGCCATCATTGATGGAACATTGAATTATAATTATGTCAGGACATCTGTCAATGAACTAATTCTCAAGAGAAAGTGGGTCATGCAGCAAGACAACGACCCCAAGCACACAAGTTGTTCTACCAAAGAATGGTTAAAGAAGAACAAAGCAAATGTTTCGTAATTGTCAAGTCAAAGTCCGGACCTTAATCCAATTGAAATTTTGTGGAAGGAACTGAAGCAAGTAGTTCATAGGAGGAAACTCACCAACATCACTGAGCTGAAGCGGTTCTGTACTGAGGAATGGGCTAAAACTCCTTCAAGATGTTGTGCAGGACTGATCAGCAGTTACAAGAAACATTACTTGCAGTTATTGTTGCAAAAGGGGGTCACACCAGATACTGAATGCAAAGATTCACATACTTTTGCCACTCATAGATATGTAACAATGGATAATTTTTCTCAATAAATAGGCCTACACGGCAAAGAAAACATTTTTGTCTCATTTTTATTTGTTTGGGTTGTCTTTGTCTACTTTCAGGACTTGTGTGAAATTTTAATTATGTTTTGAGTCATATTTATGCAGAAATATAGAAAATTCTAAAGGGTTCACAAACTTTCAAGCAGCACTGTATGAGGTATAATTTTTATAATTTTTGAGGTATAATGACATTAAGCTATATTTCAGTTTACCATAAGTGCTTGTCAGTACATATGACAGTATACGCTGTCTTTAACCATATTTCAAAGGCAGAAGTAATTATGAAATTACATGTAAAAATGTAATTAAGTTTTGTTGACCTACTTAAGTATGTCAACAAAAAGTCTTAAGTAATTGCATTAAATATAAATTTAAACTAAAAAACATTTTAATTTAATTTTAAATAACATGCAGTTAGATGTATGAAAACATTACATTCAGTTTGCACTTAAGTATTTTCTTTTAAAGTACTTTTTTTCATAATAAAGTGCACTTCTTTTTCACAAGGGTACCATCACTGTACTGTCCCTGTCAAAAAAACAAAACAAAAACAACAACTCAAACCAGCCTTAGATGGTTTGTTGGTCTCCTCACCTGGTGTGCGTTTCCCAAAAGCATTGTTAGCCAACGGCCACAAGTTCTGCTGAGCTCTTGCTGAGCTCTTTTAACAACGGAATTTGTGACCACAGTTACGTTTAGGATGAGCACCCCCTGGTAAGGCCGGTCTACTGGCTGGTTTTAGAAAGATTTAAAAGTTTTGCTTTTGCATGCCAAATATGCTGTCAGTGAAAGACAATGGGAAATATTTTACATTTCAATCATATGTATCTTAAAACATCTAGAGTTTGACAAAAATCCAAATATAGATAGAGCTGAAATGATCTACAAAAGGAAGTTTGAGTGGAGTCTGTGTGGGCTGTTTGTGTGCTTGTGAAATTGTGTATGCATTTGCGGTTTTGTCAGTTTGTTTAATCTTTTCTTGTCACAGGAGCCCATACTACATTGCTAACATGCTTCCAGATATAATGACAGATATAAAGTAAGCTTGCATGCTCCGATGGTTTCCTGAAAACCACATGACTGAAACAACTTGTTCAGACTTGCTTCCCCTCCAGCAATTTCAGGTAAAGATGGGCTGTTACAGATGGGAAACACGAACTGTCTTGTTTCCACTTTAGCTTTCAAAAATATTCACTAGTTTTACTTAATACATTAATCCATGATTATTATGTCAAATTAATGCTTTACATTTCAAGGTGAGTCACTTTAGTGAGAGACTTTGACTTGAATGACTCCAATAACAGGGCATGAACATGTAAACACGGGTATGCAATTGCATTGAAAACACCTGTCAAAATATATAATTGAAGCATATGATCTAACCTAAATATCAATAACAATAGCTGTGTTTTCACTTTATTGCAGTTATGACCTGCTTCATGCAGTTTTGGACTTGTAACTAGGTCAATTATTGTTTATACAACTTAAAATCTTAAAGATGAGCTTTAGAGCACCAGTGTAGCAAAGTAGGTCAGAGACCCTTTAATTACACAAGCCCTAAATTTAATAAAAGACTGTAATTATTTTACTGACATCTTAATAATATTTAAGAATTAGGAGCCAAGCACGGAAGGTGCTATGGCATCTATTGTATCTGTTAGATTTTTTTTAGTTCTTCCTCTTCTTGTTCTTCTTCTTCGGCTCTGGAAGTCTATGGCTGCCCATTGAACTGCTTGCGGGAAAGTTATGAAATTTGGCACACCGATAGAGGACAGTCTCCACATTAACCACAGCAAATTTGGTGTCCAATTCAAACTCTCTAGCGCCACCACTTGTCCAAATTTGCACTCATGTTTATGCTAATAACTTTTGAACCGTAAGGTCTAGAAGAAAAATCCTTTTTCCTCTGATTCCTTGGCTCATGCAGTGTTGAATGGACTCATTTGACTCATTCGTCGAATTGGCTCAGATCATCTTCAGACCATGCTGGCAAAAAGTTATCAAAAGCTTTTTGATAGACCCATCCGTTCTCGAAAACTGCACCAAATCGGACATGAGGCTATATCTTTCCAATGCTTTGTCATATTCAGACCAAACTTGGTGTGTGTTATGATAACCTTGACCAGAGGTTACTTTCACAGTTT